CAACTTGTAATCAACCAATGTGTTCACTCCCAGTCAATCTTAACTTTTTTCACTGTTACTATGTTGAGATGCCTTATAGTATGACCTTCTCCCCACCTAGGTTAGGTTGGGTTAGTGAGAGACTGACAGAAAAGTAGGAGGGTCCGAGGAGCTGATGAAGGGGGCTTAATCTAATAATGCTGGGAGGACTGATTTACCAGCGGCTGTGTTTGATGTCCACGAATACATTATACACACGAAATTTGTGTTAACGAGAGAAAGAGAGAGGAAAGGAGACAGGAGGGAGAGAGAGATTGAGGAAGAGAAACACGGGAGAAAAAATGACAGAGGGGTAGAGGAAGAAAAAGAAAGGTAGAGGAAGGGAGAGAGAAATAAAAAGGGGAAAGAGAGATAGAAGGAGGGAGATAGAGGTAGAGGGAGGGAGAGAGAGGTAGAGGGAGGGAGAGAGGGGTAGAAAAAGGGAGAGAGGTTAAGAAAGGGAGCGAGAAGTCCCTGCCACACACTAACACTGTGTGTAACTCCATACCGCATAGTATTGTCCCTACATCACACAACCTCCATCAGTATAAGTCATCCTCCTTCACACATCATCAATCTCTGACAATGAGACGCCTTCGGTGACAAGTTCCAACAACAATACTTATCTGGTCTCTCCCGACGGTAATCTTCAAGAAAAACAACGTGAACATGTGTGATGATGGCAGAGGTGCTGAACATATAGATGTTACGATGAATTGTGGGTAAGAGAGCCATCACCAGGGAGGGAGGCAGGTGTGTGTTTACAAGGACGCCTCGCCAGTATTACATGGTCTGGGTGGGAGGATTACACGATCATTCATCACTGGCTGAGAGATCTGCATCACCTCCCTTCTGCAGGAGGACACTCAAGTTCGCTTGGTATGAAATGTTCAGGCGAGTAGGTTAGGTTAGGTTAGGTTAGTTAGGTTAGGTTAGGTTAGGAACGGAGGGAAGGGCAGGAGGGAGAAAGGGAGCAAGTTTGTTGTCAACACAGAGATCTTTCTGTAGCTCTTCACATTCTCTTTGGTTCTTAATTTCCCTGAATAACTTGGCATCGTCCGCGAACTTTTGTATGGAGGAGTGTATAGCTTCTGGCATGTAATTTATGAAACAAACGAACAACAACGGGCCCAGGACAATTTCGTGCCATTAATCACCAAACACTGCTTGCAGTCACAGAGAAAGTCTCCGATCCACGCTTGGACACTTCACCGAATTCCCTACCCTACCAGTTTAATTTTCAACCTTTCATGGGGTACGCTATAGAAAGAGTTGGCAATGTCCACGTAATATATATTGTCGTTATTGCCACCATGCTCCAAAGGATGAGTCCACACATCCAGCACCTTAAGTAATTGCGCCAAGTGGAGCGTCTCGGCATAAAACCATGTGACATTTCGTTATTAGGTCAGGCTCACCGGCCTATAATTGTTTGTGGAGTAGATATCTCCCTGTTTAAATACAGTACTCACGTATGCCATTTTCTAGTCACTGGGGATCTTTTGCTCGCTTTGCATCTGTAAAACAGAATTTAAAGGGGCTTGGCAAGTTCGTTGAACAACTCTCTTAGCTCTCCGGGATGCACGCTGTCAGGGCCTGGGCTCTTATGAACCTTTAACTTTGACAGTTTGTTCCTAATACACTCCTCTGATAATGTAATGTGCGTCAGTGCTGTGTCTAACCGTCTATCCTGATATGCGAGAAGATTGTTCCCATCCTCTCTTGTGAACACTGAGGAAAACAATTTATTTTACGCCTCCGCTTTGGCCTGATCTGAGTCTGCTTAACTATCATCTTCAAGTCTCAGATCTAATACGCCCACACGTGTTTTTAACTTCGACTTTACGTAGCGGTAGAAACCCTTTGGGTCTGACTTGACCTCGCTTGCAATCAGCCACTGAGACTCTTTTATGGGGCGGATTGTGAGCGAGATCTAGTCAAACCTGAAGGCTGTAATAACTTCTATACAGGTTAATTATGCTAGACTTTTATAAATTTAGAGGGAATAAAAAACAAAGATTGTTCACAAATAAAGTAACATAGAATTAATATTGATCAGCGACAGTTTGGTAATTTAGAGTAGTCATTAATATCAAAGTCTTACCTTTATTATTCTATGTTTTCTATGGTGTTCATTTTCTATTTTGATATTTTAATATAAACTATTTTATTTATTTACTTTAATATTACATGTACTTTCTTTTAGGGGTGTCCTTTGCTCGACTGAAGCTGCTTTTATACTAAGAGTTTTCCAAAAATGACTCGGTCTGGGCTGAGCAAATGTTCAGTTGAGGTTAGAATAAACAACGGTTGTGGCTACACTAAACTTGGTTGAGGGAAAACTCTCGGTGTAAACACAGCTTAAGGCACAACCTGGCATCTCTGTCGTCTAGGTGTCATGACTATTATTTTGGTGACGCTGCTGACTTGGTGACGCTGCTGACTTGGTGACGCTGCTGACTTGGTGACGCTGCTGACTTGGTGACACTGCTGACAATTATTTTAGTAAGTTTGACCATATATGATGTTTTCCTTGTGATTTCACTAAAGGTTAAATTATGAGAGACATTATTTGCCCTTTTCTCGGGACCTGTAACAGTACACTCCATTGTTCTCACCTGACAATGCTCTCTTTTGAAATGGCAAGAAAATGGGATTCATCTAAAAACCTTAAAATTATATAATACACTAATTCAAGTATTCCTTCACTTCAGCTAACGAAAGTAAAAACGTGAGAGGCACAAGAAGAACTAGTTTCCAAACCTGAATTTCTTAATACAATCTTTCAGTCCGGCAACCTAACCTTGTGCTGGGAGACGAGGCCATTAACACACATCCTCACACACCCACAACACTGACACTATTATTATTTCCTTCACATGAGGTTAAAGTAATACAGTTCTCTAATCAGAATCTGGATCATATTGACAGTGTGGCGCTATTGTCTTTTAAATATTTAATTCACAGACTACACAGCCCAGCGTCATATTGATAATGCAGCAAAGAAAACGATTATATAACCCGCTTTATGTAGCAACTTATTCTCTCCAGGTTCTGTATATTATTTCTTCCGTGTCAATGTGAGTCACGGTGTAAATAGTGTTGTGATGATAGTGTGGTGTAGTTTTTTATTCATCAACTGCAGTAATAAACGAATTGTATGGAGTATTGACCCCAACAGTGTAAAATAAGAAAAAACAACTATATTTCTAAAAAATACGCAGCGGTTCCCCAGTGTTGTCAGCTGGTGTGTAAACTGGTCCACTATTGTCATAATACATAGACAATAAGTATCCACTAGCAGACCCAGAGTATCTGATCAGTGACTTCGCTTGCCACTAAGGGCATATCGGGTCAAATTAGGTTAGTTAAAGATTATGTTAAATCAGGTTAGATTAGGTTAGGTTACATCAGATTATTTTTAATTTGGTTATATACGGTAGGGTTATCTTAATTTAGATAAGCTTAGGTCAGATCAATTTAGGTTAGGTTAGGTTAGGTTAGGTCGTGTGTGTGGTTAGGGGTAGTTAGATTCTGGTTAGAGGTAGTTAGGTTTGGTTGTTTGTGGTAAGGATAGTTAAGTCCCGTCTCTTAAGTATATAAAGAGAGAGAGAGAGAGAGAGAGAGAGAGAGAGAGAGAGAGAGAGAGAGAGAGAGAGCATCGAATAGACTCGATAGAGGGAGAGAAATAAGAGTTTCAGAGACACAGAGAGAGAGAGACAGAGACTTTAACGCTCACTTAGAAAATTATCTCTCGTTTTTTGTAAGCCACCAGTCCTAATAGACCCCAGTTTTAATAGACCCTAATAGGTCATAATAGGTCCTAATAGGTCCTAGTCCTAATAGGTCCCAGTCCAAGTTGGTAGCAGTCCTAATAGACCACAGTCCTATTAGGCCCCATTCCTAATAGACCCCAGTCCTAATAGACCACAGTCCAATTAGACCCCAGTTCTAATAGCCCCACCCACCACCCCACACACACACACCTTAATTCTATTTGTACTCCCTGGAGTGACTGTGTGAGTGAGAAAGAAATTGTATGTACAAAGAGAGAAAGGCTGTGTGTAAAAGAGAGAGAAAGAGAGAGGGAGAAATCGAGGGAGAAAGAGAAGGAGAACAGTAATAATGAAACATCTAACACTCACACCCCATAACGGTGGTCCACACACTGACTGTCAACAGCACCAGCTGGCCCGAATTCCTCTCAATCAGCTGACTAGATTATTGCCAACTCAGAGCGTCTTCCTTCTGCTACACACACACACACACACACACACACACACACTAACCCCTTAATGAACTCCATCACAAGAACTTAATCAAAATAGATTTCAACCCACTAGTTTTATTTATAGAGTTGAAACTTTTAAAAATAGTATTGTACTACAGTAATGGTAAAATATATTACACACCGTTGCCACAACTTACAGTGTACAGACCTCTTCAAAACGTATATATATTTTAAAACTATTTTATATTTATTTCGTGTACGAAGGCATTGTATTAGGTTACTTGTGCTTTAGTAGCGTGTCGATGTGTTAAGCAACAGTGGAGTAAATCGTGCACAGGCTGCAAGATGGGGCCGGGTGGTTATCCCCGTAAGGTTTATGAGGGAAGGAAGGAATGTCGTGAGGTTCTGCCACTTGGTAAAACCTACGTCTTGCAGGATATGTTACTCTCTCTCTCTCTCTCTCTCTCTCTCTCTCTCTCTCTCTCTCTCGTTTGTGTGCTTTACAGCTGTTTTAAGTAAATACAGACATCGGTGTGCATATAAACACGTAGATGTACCCGTCTTAAATCCTTAGATATACACACACACTTAAAACAAAATTATTCAAAAACCAACCAAAGAAATAACCAAACAGGGGGTTAGTTAACCCGACAACTCGCTCATGAGGTGACCAGATTGGCGGGTTGGTGGCGGAGGGAGGGAGGGAGGGATGCCGGCGAGCTACTGAAACTCTGAAAGGTCAGTCAGTTGGGTTTGTGGCGTCGTGGTGGAAGGTATTCGACTGTTTCATCTCCGAGTCTTAGCCTCCTGAGTAAACGTCACCTTTTCTCCATTTGTTAGGTAATGTCTATGAAATTTTATTTTACATTATTTTGTCATGTTTTGTTACTTTGAATTTATTATGTTACTCTTGTGGGCTATTTTTGTATTTTTTTTTTTTTAATTCTGAATCGCACTTTTCCGTTCGTCGTCCACACGTCCGTCTCATCATATCTTGTCAGCATCAATACGCCAAAAATATTCAGCGCAGGTGAATGAGATTTGCATAGTGCCTCTATGAATATCTCAGGATTAGCTGATTAGAATTTGAAGGTGATTGGTATTATTTCACGTTTTTAATTTAATTAATTTTTTTATTATTAATTTATCGCAGCTAATGGCGATCTCTCTCTCTCTCTCTCTCTTTGACTAGTTATGTCATGTGACGAAAAACGGTGATAATAAATCAACCTATACCTTTCCTTCTAGTACTAAAACATGAATGGATACAATAATAAGTGAATATAGTAGATGACAGAGAAAAAGAAAGAGATAAATCAACAATAACAACAAAAGAAAATTTATATACAACTAAAAGTGAATAAGATAAATAGAACATTATACTGGCGATCGCTGACGGAGGTTAGTTAATTGCATTGTGTTAAGATAAACTCTGGTGAGGTCAGTTGTTTTATGATTTGGCGGAAGATTATGAAATTGCGCGTAAATGGACTATTACTGGAGATAGAAACATCGTATGGCTTTGTTGGCTATTGTTCGTCAAATAGCCATACTGTTTACCATTGTATACCCGCAGTCTAGGTATACGTTGCTCACCCGTGCTCTCTATAAACATTGTATACCTGCACTCTCTCTCTATACAAGCTGAACTGTATACCTGCATCGCCTGTATACATCCTGACTCCGTGTAAACCTATATGACGATTTTAGTGATTATCTATCTATCTATCTATCAATATATCTATCTATCAATATATCTATCTATCTATCAATATATCTACCTATCTATCTATCTATCAATATATCTATCTATCTATCTATCTATTATCGTAATCGTTTCCTTCTTCTTTCTTCCTGTGAGCGCGATACATCTTGAAACGTGACAGGGGCGTTGTTCATCCTGTGAGCTGACGAAAGTATTAAAGATCACGTTACTTTACTTTATCTGGGTTATATGATGATAAAACACCTTATCATTATCAAGCAGGAGTAAGTTAGGTTACGTTACGTTACTTTTGACTGGTTAAGGTTAGATTAGGTTAGGTTACATTAAGCTAGGTTAAGTTAACGTTAGGTTAGGTTAGGTTAGGTTAAGTAAGATTAAGTTAGGTTAGGTTAGGTTAAGTAAGATTAAGTTAGTTATGGTATCGTAAACACCTCTGAGATTCTGCTAGGCTCAGGACACGTGTGAGGTTGACCTATAATCTGGTTGGTGTGCATCAGCCAGGAATCCAGCCGACGACGCCCCGCTGACCCGACTGAGCCCATCATGTGGACGGCTGCCAAGTTTCTAGTCGGTCTGATAGTCTGCCGCCTTGCTATTCGGCCGGTCTGATAGTCTGCCGCCTTGCTATTCGGCCGGTCTGATAGTCTGCCAGTCTGCAGATCTGCTAGTCTGTGGGTCTACTAGTCTGCCAATCGGCTAATTTGCCAGTTTACTAATCTGCCAGTCTGCTAATCTACCGGTCTGCTAGTCTGTCAGTCTGCTAATCCACCGGTCTGATAGTGTCCTGGTCTGCTAATCTACTGGTCTACTAATCTGCCGGACTGTTAATATTCCGGTCTGCTAATCTTCCGGTCTGTTAATTTATTGATTTGCTAATCTTCCAATCTACTAATTCACTGGTCTGCTAGTCTACCAACCTGCTAATCTGCACATCTACTGGTCTGTTAGTCTACCAACCTGCTAATCTGTTGGTCTGATAGTCTACCGGTGGTGTGAGCTTAGAACACAACAGCCTCGACTGAACCTGATGTTTCTATACGGGATGGGATGCCGACACACGACTGTTGCCCCAAGTGTGTACCGTATGGCTGTTGGGGACGCCGGGGGAAGGGGTAGTGAGGCGTGAGGTTTCACAGATACGCCAATAGTGATTAATCTCCACCTATCAAAGCCCAGGACGTCTACCAAAGTCATAGTCATTTGCTGGGAATATTCAATCCAGAAGCCTTCATATCTGAACACGAGTACAACTCCCAACTAACGATACTGAAGATTATACGTACATGATACAACACACGAAGGATTTTGACAACACTATTAAGACAACGGAAGTCGCAGTGTTCATTTTAAAAATCAGCGGAGCGAGTTTACGTTGTATGTGTTATAAATAAAGACGAAGAACTGTACAGAATGGGTAATGTGTTACTGTTATGTATTGATGACGCTGGTAGTGGCAAAGACTTGTTAGATGTGTGAAGTGGTAACTGTGTGTTGTGAGGTAAACATACACCGCTGAGTAAATGTTGACAGTATGTAGTCCCGTGACCATAACAGGGGGAGGAGAGGGGGAGAGGGTGTGGGAGTTAAATTACGAAAAAGAAGGACGTATATAGAAATGCAAATAAAAGATTTAAGAAAGTAAGAAACGTTACTTGTATTCATCCTCAGTTTCTTACACCACCAGTTGACGTCGTCTGGTTGACCCTTAAATTCATTCGCTTTTTGATCATCAACATTCTGAGAATAAAAACAAAAACAATACTCCTCCCAGATAAACACTAGATTATAAAAATATTAAATTATAGTAACAAGATCCCAATCTGTAGGAGAAACAATAAGAAATATTTGAGTATCTTTAAATTAGCCACAAAACTATAACTATGTTCTTGAAAAAAAAAAAAGTTGGTCAAGGTCATTGTAAATCCTTGAGGTTTAGTTTTAGGTCTCCCTGATTCGTTGTTCTATGGGTAACTGGAATGATTGGCAACGAAAACATAGGCTGGGCTCGTATCCCGTCCCTGTAATACATATGAACCCAGGGCTTCCAAGATATGAACTTAAACCCAAGGACTCAAGACAGGTTCAGGTCTCTGGGTAAGGACTCAGGGCTTGAAACCAATCTTGCATATGAATCTTAATCACATTGATACCAGTGGTTCAAACTAGGACTTTTGACTGAACCAGACATGAACCAAAACATCTCCCTGAACCAAACATAGAACCCAGAACCCGTGTGAACCAGGAAATGAACCGTAAACCTGATTCACTCGGAAGAAGCTCAGACGAATGATGAGGGAGAGGTGTGTGTGTGTGTGTGTGTGTGTGTGTGTGTGTGTGTGTGTGGTGTGTGTTGGTAGGAATGTGTGCATGTAGGTAGGATTGTGTATGTAGGTAGGATTGTGTATGTAGGTAGGATTGTGTATGTATATATGTATGTATGTATGTATGTATGTGTAGGTAGGTAGGAGTGTATCTGTGTATGTAGGTACGAATATCTGTATGTGTGTGTGTTTGTGTGTGTGTGTGTGTGTACAGCCGTCAGGAAGGAGGGTGTGCCCGGCCGCTATCACTCCCAGGCTGGCCCCGTTAGACTAACCTGTCCACCCGGGCAGCGTAGGACTGTAAACACGGTAGTGGCCCAACCCAAGGATGTGAGGGGTGAGCCATTGACCACATTATACAGTACGAGGGTTGGAGGATACGTGGGCTGGAATCCTTGATCTGAGGATACTAGGACTGAAGGACCCGAGGAGACAAAGGTTCAAATCCCTGATATAACAAAATTAGGATGGTGGGAGGGGTCGAATCCGTAAACTGAGGATACTACTGAATGATTTTATAACTCCTGTAAAGGTTACTAGGAGACGAACCCAGGGCCCAAGAGTACTAGGAGTAGGATCCAGGACTCAAGAGTACTATAGGGATAGAGCCTAGGACCCAAGTGCACAAGAAATAAACCCAGGGAACTAAGACTACTAGGAAATAATAAACTCGGAGTACCGTACAACAGGTTCAGGTAGACAGATAAACACTACGACTCTGCCAGGTGGTGTCTGTACCACGTCGTACCTGGTAGTGGCGCTCCTAAGGTCAAAAACCTGGACGGGAAAGTAAGGCAGATGCTTAGCAACGATTTAGTGTAATTGTCAACAGCTGTCAGAAGTGCAGTAAAGACTTGTGTACGTGTCAAGAGCTGTCAGGAGTGTAGCAAAAACCTATATAAGTGTTAGGACAGTTATCAAGACAAGCTTTCAGTACAATAACTTTCAACCTTTAGAGCACGATATTTAACCACATTTAGTTCAGAGACTTCTCGATAATCAACTTACTGAAGGCAATTACAGGTTATTTTTTTCACAGTAATCTTCTATAATAATAAATGTCGCCTGACTTCGAATTACAAAATACTAACCAAATGATTAGGAAGGAAAAATGCAGTCGATACAATAAGATACAAATGTGATGACAATGGTTTAAGATTAGATGAGAAATATCAAAACGTTGTGTACGATTAGTTCCTAATTTCTGGGATAAATCTAACACTTTCACCACAGTAATTAACACTCCTTAAAGATAAAAAATAAATAAATAAAAACATAAACCCTACTGTTGATGATCATTGATAACTGTAATTTAACCAGGTAATTGTCAGGAGATTATAATATTATTTTTTTTATTTTTTACAATTTTCACAAATGTTGAGACGATAAAATTTTCTCGTAAATAGAGAAGTAAAAATGAACTAAACTGGTTGACTTTAAGCTAAAAAAAAACACAAGAATAACGAGAACTATTTTGTTTAAATTACACTGAGACTCTACCTGACCTAGATACGTTCATTAAGTGGAAGATAGGGAGTGAATTGAAGAATATGTGGAATAAGATAAGTGTGATACGATGCAAACACGCTGGTTTGTACGAAAGGAAAACACACACACACACACACACACACACACACACACACACACACACACACACACACACACACACACACACACACACACACACACTTGAAGTTCGGTGAAGCGTGAGTTTGTCGACGGCCTTACACATTCTTTTACTTCTAATTCTTACTGAAGGAATTTAATGACTCGCATAAAATGTTTTGTCTTAA